AACTGTTTGTAACAGGAAGTGTTGGAAGATCAAGTTCTCTCAATACAAACTAAAATATTTTCATTACCAAAAAAAGGATAATTTTATAGGATTTAAACATAAAAATTTTGCATGGTAATAACTCCTGAATGTCCAACTGGGCCCACTTTGGAAAAGCTGTCTTTTTTTAGTGAGCAGGGTTTCTTTAGAAATACACATTCAGTTTTCTTTTAAGGAGAAACTGTCATTCAGCAAAGCACCCCCTACTAGCCTCTTGTGGAAGTGAGAAAAAAGAGCCACTCTTAGGAGTGGCTCTCCAAAGGAAAAGCTGCAGCTCACCAAAATAAAGCCTACAAAACACCATTATCAGGCAGGCTCTGCTGCAGCATTAAAAGATGATGAGGAAGTACTTAGAAATGGGATGCCTGAAAAAATTCTGGTAACTTCAGCACAAAGAAATTTAGGCAACAGTTCTCATAACACAAGTATCAAGTCATATAGGGATCTTCACACATCAGTTGAAGTTTTACACTGGAAGAGAAGTAAGCCTTTTTGCAAATGGTGTGTGCATTGTGTTAAAGAACTGTAGACCTTTAGCAATTGTAGTTGTTAATATGGCTCTGTGATAATATATAGAGGCTCTTGTGTTACATTTAATATAGCATTTCAATTCATGTTTATTGACATTTCAATTCATGTTTATTGAAGGTATTTATGAAGAGATTTACTTATGTGGAATATTGTCCAGTGGTATGTCTAATGTCTTGTGCTCCCTATGCCACATCTGCTCCTCAACTTATGCAGCACAAGGGAGAGGCAGTGTGTGCAGAGCACAGCTCAGGATAACAGAGCAAGAGCTTTGTGCTCTGGCTCTAAGTCTGTAAAGGACCCTTTGCACAGGAAACAGTGGCTCTCTGAGGACAGCAGGAGGACTGCTGCTTCAGGAGAGTTAGAAGGCAGTGACACAATTTCCTGTAGATTTAGAAGGTGAGTGAAGGGAATCCAAACGTGTAGCTGTCCCAGATGAGCAAATTTCTGCATGACTCAGTAGCTCATCATGCTGTGATGGACAGAGGCTGGGGGCTTATGTGGAGGGAAGTTAGTCCCAGCTCTGCTAGTGTGGGTGGAGGGTTCTTGTTTCCCTAAATTGTGCTGGGGTTTTTGGTCTTTTTGGTGATCCATTCTGCTGCAGCCAGTCCTGCCCCTGGACAGATTTTACACTGTCTACTCTTGTCAGCCAGTAACCTGCTTAAGAGGGTTTCACAGAACAAGATGCCAATTTGTGTTTTATACCCACCTTTTCCAGCCCTGAGTCTGCCAAACCAATGATGATTCTTGTGGAGGGGTTTCTTAAATGCAGGGTTATGTGCAACAATGACGTGTTCCTGAGGTTCTGACTTTCAAAGGTAATTGTTTACGTGTGACACAGAACTGTTAGCTTTTAGTAACTGGAAAGTGTAATATAAAAGTAAGTATTAGAAGTTGAGTATTGAGGGTTTTTTAAGAGTAACATGACCTACTTGTAATGTTACTGCTATAGTTCACTGATCAGATGAAAAGGTAATGTACTCTTAAGCTACTGGCTGGCAACATATATTTACATTCCTAAATTATTGCTCTTTCATATACATCTGAAAAACACTACAGTGGATGAGGTTTTTTATGCTTTTTAAACATTTCAAAGTGTAAGGTACTCTCCCTAAAAAATACTGTGCAGGTTATTTCTCAGTTTTCCAGAACAACCAAGCAAAGTCCCTGCACAACTACCACATTTCTTGCATATTTACATCAACTTTTTGCAATCTCCCCTCAAAAAAAAAGTCCTGAAACCCAAAGATGAAATGTGATCCTTCCTTAATTAAACTTGCATCAGCTTTCTCACATTAATCTAACCAGCAATTTTATGTCATATTTCTGAGCTTATGATGAAGATAACCACACCTTTTTAATTCACAGTAATGGTAATTATAATTACTGTTGGGTCTCCTAAGGTGCCTTTGAAGGAGCTGCTTCCTACCAGAAAGGCTTGCTATCTCATAGTTACTTTTGTTTAGTCCCTCATTTAGGCTTAATTTAAACTTAATTCATCCAAAGCATTTAGTTCTCATTTTTACATGTGGTTTCTCATGGATCTATCTCCCAAGTGAGATTACTGCCCATACCTGTTACTTTATGGGACAGTGTAATCAGATTTCAGTTCCAGAAAGGATTTGCATGTAAATAGTCTAGCTCACTTACAGGTCCAACATTTGGTCCTTCAGCAATGTTGAGGAAGTGATGACCCAAGCTGTGGCACCACCTGGACTGGGTGGATGTAAATAACAGCCAGAACTGCTGTCCAGACTAGAAACAGCCTTTTCACATGATTTTTTTTTAATAACTGTTCCACTTTAATACCAATTTCCTACTAACTGAATCTCATTTTTTCTAAGGCTTTGAACTATTGAAATTATGTATAGTTAAGCTGTGATGGTCTGCACTACTCTTGCAACTTGTCCAAGTATCCAGCACAAACACAGCAGCTGTTTTGCATAGAAGAACTCCTCTGTAAGATTTGACAGGTAACTATTATAGACTGCTAACTGTATTATCTTGGAGAAGAAGAATGGGTTGCTAACAGCAAAGGGAAACAGCAGGAGCAGTTGGGAACATTAAACCATTTTTCTTGTGTAAATTGCATTCACATTGATTGTGGATTTCATATTTTGATTCAATGGGATGCCATTAGCACAACATTTAGTAAAGGTGATCCCGAGTGTACTACAGTCCCAAGCAGACTCAGAATTGTGGACTAACCTTAGAGAAGGCTGGAGCCTAAAAAAGATGGGTAATTGCTGCAGAGTTGCAGTTGACAGCATTGAGAATTGCATGCCAGAAGAGGATTTTCCTCTTTCCTTTAGAAACATGAGTTTATCAGATGGCTTATCTGCCTTTGCAATAAGTGCAGGAAAATACAGGCCAGTAAGTCATGCTGATATAATACTAAAAAAATAAAACTACCAATTTGCTGCATTGTCTTTCCATTATAAAGTTGTGTCATACATGGAGTTACACAAGCAAAACTCTCTCATTAGCTTTGCATGGGAAGTATTAGTTGTTTGCCTGTGAGGTAAGCATTTACATTAATGTAACTCAGCTAGTAAACCACCCACGAGGTCACCTATCACTTTGACCCATTCCTCACTTAGCCAAAAGGTTAATGTATGCAGTCTTCTCTTAAAAGCTTGATTTCCTTTATGGTAATTGCAATTGCCATCAGTATGAAATGTAGCATGCTTCTAAATCAAAATAGTGATACATAGCTGGTATTCTAACAGACCTGTTTCTTTGTCCAGCCAGTTATTCCAGCTGAAGCTGTGGTGTAGAAGATAATGGATAATGAAGAATTGAGCCCATGATGCAGTAGCTAGTGCAAGTCAGTCAAAGAGCATGTTTCCACATAGAGAGTTATCCATCAGTCACAAAACAGGTGAGTCAGTAGCAATTTGCATTGTTCAACATGCTGTGACTGAAGAGGAAGAAAATCACACTGAAGCTAATTGTATCTTATTTCAATTAATCATTTCAGTGCATAACTACTTATGTGTATCCATAAAAATGTCATATGAAAAACCACCACATGCTTGCATGACTAAACACTATTTTTAGCTTCTGTCAGTCTCCCCAGCAGCTTCTGAATGTGTTGCTCAATTAGTCTAAATTTGAAAAGAAGATTGTGTGGCAGTTATCCCTGTCCTTATAATGTACTTAAAGTCAGCAGTCAGGTACAGAGGAGAACCACAGATCAGTGCACTGGACAAAGAGTAGGCAGGGTGCAACTGGTGTCCTGCAGCTTCAGCAGCAGCAAAGCAGGAGCCAAATGGCATAACTCAGGAGTGGTTGTAAAGAAGAGCTGAATATCACAGTGAAGAGAATGGCACTGTTCAAGGACAAACCCACAGATCTATAGGAAATCAGGCTTCATTGCCTCTGCTTCTGCTACAACAACTTGTAAATAAGCTCAAGACTCTAAAGGACTCTCAAAGTCAAAGTAATTAGGGATAATATGGATAAAAAGAATGGAGTGCCACTGTCTGGCAATCAGAGCCATTCCTCCCAACCCTTCAGGCATACAATCCTGTTTTAGCAGTAATGCCTCATACAACTGAATTGCAACTATTGTTTTCCAAAAGGTAGGACTAATACCACAATCATTTAGTATAGCTTATTCACACAGTTGAAATCCATACTCTTTCTGTGTCTGTGGGACTGATTTATGTGTGCATATCTTTGTTGTATCAAGCTCCACAAGCCTTTTAAAAGGTTACAAATCACAAGTGAGTTCACAGCAATGTTAAGGTGTTACAATGACAAAACTAATTTAGACAATTTCAAGGCACTGAATAAATGCAGTTTATTGACACAGTAGAGAAGACAGTATGGCACAATCAGAGCATACTTCCTGAGAAGTACCTGCAACTTAAATCCTGTTAATCTGATTGAAAAGGAAGCAAATCCACTAATGAACAATGAGACCCTGAAGTCAGGCTCCCATCCCTTGTCTTTGTGTGCCATTGCCAGTTACAGAATTCTCAGAGAGGACACAGGGTTTGTCCTGAGAGAGGACACAAAGCAGTAACTGAAGATTTGTTTTATTTGAGATGTCACTATAGTAATGCTTAGTAATTCTGTGCTGCTATTCTGTTCCAAAATTGCAGTGTAATCAATTGGCACCTTTACCTTTCTTACTGTTCTTTGTGTATAACTGGCTGTAACACAAGAAAAAAAATCAATAGGGCACACCAAGGAGAATGATGCACTACATAGAAAACAGCAAATTATGCCCTATAGAGAAGAAGAAATGGAAGATTATGTCTTTAACTTTTTTTGTTAAGTTGTGATCCTAGAAGATGAGTGTGTAGTCTGTGGTGCACCCATCAAGCTATATGGTTAAGTTCAGACAAACCAAATTATTTAAAATACAGTTCACATATGACTGGGAAATATTCCCAACTGTACTAAGAATATCTGATCAGATCAGATCAGATCTGATCACCACATTTAAACATGCCTAAATTACTAGGTCATACATATTAGTTTTTGATGCACTAGAATTTCTAGGACTGAACCTAGTCAAGTCTTTATTTCAACTATGGTATATTATCAAATGAAACATTTTCCTTATTGTTGCAACAGTCCTTTTAAATATTTCTGTAAAAATGATAACAGTTTACAGGATAGAAAAAGAATATTTTCAATCAAAGCTAAGCATTGTGGTAGTAATAGTCTTCTTGATAAGATGAAAAATGCACACATGATTTATCTGTCACCACTATATTTCATACTTTAATACATTATACTTCAGGCTTTGCGATGTCAAAAGGTTTCCAATGACAAAGTTTAACAGACCAGAAGAAAAATATTTAGATGCATGAATATAAATGCTAACACTGTAGAGTACAAGTTACGGTAAAAATCAGGACAATGACCTATGACACAAGTAACTGAAACAAGCGTTAAGCTTCAGCAAACTATTTTTTTTAATAGGTTTCAGGCCTATTTCTACGACGCAGAAATCTGACAGAGACATCCATGCTTTTGGAAAAGATACACAAACTACAGAAGCTACTTTATTTTGATTATCTCCCCGGGGCAGTTAAATACAAACCATTGCACCATTAATGCATGTAATGGATCAAAATTTACATGTCCAGACATTCAGTTAAGGCAGTAGTTGGTGATACCAATGTTCAAGGAATGATTCAAAATGTGTCCAGATAACAATAGACTAAAATATCACTTTCATGATCTTTATTTAGAAATTAGGAATCAAACATTGATAAATACAGCATTTCACCAACAGGAAGGGAGTAAGAGTGCTCTACATCCAGAAAGAGAGGTACAAACCAGTTTCATGCAGACTGTTTATATGATAAAGCAGTGAAAGCTTTTCTGATGTTGGCAATAAATGCAGAAAAATTGTTAGTTTCTCTCAGTTTAAGCTGTAACTCTGCAATACAGTCCAGAGGAGGAGTACAGGAATTCACTAGAATGACACAAATTTGTAAAAGATTAGACTACTAATAAAAGAATAAGTCCATACCAGTGTTTTTCTGCACCTATGAAATACTAATGGAGTTTGTTATCTTTTTATGTTTTCATTTTCACCTGCATGATTTTGGAGAAGCCTCATTTTGTTTCAGCAAAGAGAAAGCCTCAAAGAACTTAACAGGTTTTTTGATTTCCTGACCTCCCACTTAGTGCTGTGCTCCTGCCCGAGTTGTTACAGCAATTCCCAGGAATCCATAGCCTACTCAAAAACTGAAACACACTCCTAAGCCATGATGTTGCTCTGCAGGCAAGCAGATTGTAAACTGATGTAGCCCAGCATATGATAGACTTTTGACTTCAACAGTTTAGGTCTGAATTAGTAAAACCAGAAATCTGTTCAGTTCAGACCCAGAGGCATGGCAGAGCCCCAGCAGCATTTGTCTAGAAGCTATCTAGGACTCAAATTCCATAAATGAACCACATAGCCAGCTTTGAGATCCAAAAGGCTGTGCCCTTACAGAAGGGGAATGCTGGATTTCAAGTTTTATTCTTTCACCTATGTCACCCTTTTTCTGCCTCTAGGCTTCTGGAACAAGTTGAAATAAGCCTGTCAGCATACACAAGCAGAAACTGTAGCAGAAACAAACTACAAATGGAGCATTTTCATCTCTGTCTGTGGTCCTTCTCTTGCTTTGCTTGATACAAAGTAAACAGCATCTCCACAAATGGAGGCCAGTGAATATAAGCAGTCCTATTTTCATGCAAGTTAACAAGACAAACATAATTAAAGAAACAATATTACCAGTTCAAGATTTTCCATTCAGGAATTGGAAGATAAAAGATCCCAATTAAGCTGCACTTTACTCCTCTGCTTTTTTCAAAGAGGTGTCAGATTCAGTGCTCTAATTTAAGTATTCAAATTCACATACCTTCATAGTCCCCTTGTTCATTTATGGAAAGGGTACACACGTAGGGCTTATCAGGATCTTTGTGGTCAATGTGCCTGAATATAAACTGTAATTGCTCATCTAAAATAAACACAAACAGAAGTAATTAACACCATTAACCTCTGCTGCAGAGTCACAATGATGATTAAAACTCACAATACAAAATTAGTTTCAATTAATATTCCTAGAACACTGACAAATTAAGCAACCCTGGCCTCTTTGCAAGACAAATGCATTTTAACATATTTTGCCATTTGAGGGACAAATGTAGTAGCTGGGCTAATCCAACTGATCAAGTGTGTAAGCTATGTGCTCTTCACTGCACAATCCAGCATGAGCCACATTGTATCAGTGCACACAGAAACTGTGGAAGCTACAGAAACCTACCTGGAATTCTACGCATCTCCAACGCAAGATGCTCTTTAAACAATGTTTTAATCTTGCTCACTTGTTCCAGTTTCTCCTTGGCAGCTTTATTTTTAGAAGATTTTACTAGAATTTAAAAGTCCATCATAAGTATCAAAGGCAAAACAAGCACATAAAAAACCATCTAGAACAGCAGAAAAGCCACAAAAGCAAGTGTTAAAAACAACCCCTCCTTCAATTATGAAAATTTACTTATTATCCTTTTTTACTTACTTTCCATTTTCTTCATCAACTCTTGTTTAAGCTCTTCAATGCTGTCCATCAAGTTCTTCTGCTGCTCTTGTTCTTGATTTAGCTCTGATCTTATTTCTGTCAACTGCTCTTCCTTTTCTGCTATGTATTTGCTCTGCTGGAGAATCTCTGAAAGGAGGCAAGAAAATATGAACACATACAGTTGATTAAGTTATGTCTCTGCTATTTAAAACTTAAGTAGTTTGACATTATTTATATTAATAAGACACAATAGAATGCATGCTACCATAGCTGCAGAGAGAAGTTAGCTTAACTATACCAAAGGAAAACTTAAAGTGAAAGTTATTCCTAAGAGAAGCTACAAAGTATGGAGCTGCTCTGATACTTTAATGAGATGAAATTTGCTTCTGGTGCCAGCACTACATACATATTCAAAGCATGAAGATGGTGGCTCCTGCCCACAGGTAATGACAGAAAGCCAAGAATGGAAACATTGACTGATGTGAGAGTTGCAATCATTTTACCTGATATTCTGAAGTTTACAAAATTCAGCCAAGTTAACCCTAGACTGATGAGCTGACAGTATTCTCTTACTAATATGGAAAAGACATAAATAACTTCACAATACTTAGCTTTACTAAGCAGTTTAATTTAATTTTCCTACTGCAGTCAAAAATTCTGACACTATTGTTTTAAATACTTATGCTTTATGCAGAAAACATATTTTTGCATCATCAAGGAAGTTTTTTAACAAATTGCTTTTGACTTGAAATTTACATTTTAATTTATGTTGTAACCAACCCATTATGTTTGGGTTTAATTCTGTCTTCATTCTGATGTTACTACTTGCCTTTTCAAACCTGAAGTTAAACATACTATCCAGCTATATTCAGTTAATTTTATAAAGGTTGAGCATAAGAAATAGCTGTACCATTTTTATACTCGTGAATTTTGTCAATCATCACATCCTCTTCTTTCAGCTTCTTGGACCATTTCTCTGTAAGGGAAAGTTACTTCAGTTATCTGAAGAAGTTTGATGACAACTTGCAAAAAGCAGAGTTAACAGGAGCAAGGGCCTTTGTACCTGCAAGAGCTTCTAAAGTCTCCGTGCACAAATCTTTCAGCGCTGAAGTCTGTTTGTTCTGTTCAGTGCCATAACTGAATTTAAACTGGTTCCAAAACTCTTTCATATCTCTTTCAAGGAGTGTTACTTCATCTTCCGCCGGTACGTTACCCATAGCGCTGTACCAGACCTGTGCGGGAACAGGCGCGGCGTCAGGGCACGGGAGGCAATGGCAGCACGGCTAACACAGAGCGAACGCTCCGGGCTGCTTCTACCGCCCCGCCTTGTTGTTCAAACCTCTCGGCGCAAGTTGTTTTTGTTGTCACCATCAGCTCAGTGGGAGCCGCGTCTCCCTCGCACTCTCCCGACGCTCGGCTCCCGCACCAGGGGAGGTTCCCCCGCCATCCCCTCACCGCCCGCCGGCCCCGGCCCCGTTCCCGGCCCGCACCCACCGCGTCCGCGCCGCGCCGCGCCGCTTCCCGCCGCCAACGGCCGCTCCCGCCCGCCCCGCAGCAAGCGCGCCGCTGATTGGCTGAGCCCCGGCCCGGGCCCGCCGGCCGTTGCTGCGGTAACGAGCGCGAGGCGTGGCCGGCGTGAGGGGCGCGGCCGCCATGGCGGGGCGGTGCCCTGAGGGGCGGTGCCATGAGGGGCGGCACTCCCGGCTGCCCCCGTCCCCCCCGGCATTGCTGCTTGGGATGCGGTATCTGAGTCTGCTGCTGCAGGGCCGCGGGGGGAAACTGCCTGTTCGGTGCTGAGCGAACAGCGCGGCTCATTTACGCTCCTCTGAAGCCACAGCTTGTTCCCAGTTTTACTCATGGAACGCACTTACGGTAACCGGTCTTAAATTTTGTGAGTTTCCCGACCGCTTTTTAATTCGCCCGGCTTGAATTCTCTAAAAGAACGTGGATGAAGCTCGTTCTGAGAGGAGAATGACCTGCAGGGGTAATTGCAGTCCTTTTGGTGCGAACAAAACCACCATACAGTAGCCATGCCTGTACCCAGTCAAACGTTTGCCATAAATGACTGTCAAAGTGAGTTTGCTCTTTATGACAATCTGACTGGTTTTTCTCCAGTTGTTTATATTCCCTTTTAGCTCTTGATAAGCACTAGCTTGTGATCCAAGGTAGCAGCTTTCAGTTTTTTATGAAAGCTACTTTTAATAATTTTTTTAACATAGCTAATGAATTACTCTTAATTTTAGTTTGTGCCAGTGCTATTTAGAGTAATGTATATTTAGCATGGCTTTGAGGATTGCTGTCTAAAAGTACTAATTACTATCTTCCACTTGTGCAATGCTTGGGACCACCAACCATTAGTTCCATTACCCTTACACAAACTTCTCGTATAAACACTTTTACCCCACTGTATTCCTGTCGTGTTTAACTTGGACACTGTTCTCCAGACTTCACAGTTTCCTCAGCAATGTTCCTAAAGCTGATAGACCCCTGTTTCTTACCTGCTTCACACTTAATTGCACTGAAGTTGGGCTGGTCCAAGGATGATTACCTAGCCACGTATGAATTTGGGCACTATGGACCTATACCTTATGCCTTTTTTTATTTAGGAACATTTCTTGCCTAACCAAGTGCATGCTGTTAGTATAAAGTTTCAGTGTTGCTCTTGACAGTATTAGCCTCTATTATTTGAGCTCATAACTTTCTGAATACACAATTTTCCCAGTCCCTGGAGTTTTGTAAATACAAGTTAAACTAATCTAATCAAGTCCTGTTTTCTAATCCATAATCTTTTGGTGGGTTCTACAGCTGGATAACACAGATAATGAGTTCACCCCACAGTAGCTGGCACTAGCTCCAAAGTGTTAGGTGTCTTTTCTTCATTGGTGAAGTTTTTCTAGACTCATTAGTCCTATTCCTTTGTTTTACACTTTCACCCACCTAACAAGACTAAATGCATTTACTGGCAGAATCCATACCTTAATTGATCTCTTTTCTGATTCATTTAGAGGTTTTGAGAGACATGAACTATCTTCAACCTTTCCCACTACTGTCCACCATCAGTTTACCAAGTGTGTGTTTCAGGGAAGCACAGTGATTTTGGCAAGTCCTAATTTTCAGTTCCAGCTGGTGGTTTTTGCCAGCTGCAAACAGGAATGTGGTTTCATGGCCCAAACTAGTGCAGGTCAGATGCTTCTTCAGTCCCCTCTTCTGGATCTGATTCAAGAGGCTCCATGGACAGAAATGCAGGCAGCCAACCCACCATAACTCCAGCCCAGACAATTGTTCTGAATTGTTGCTTTCTAAGTGTCTGTCCTAGCAAGCCATGGAGTAGCCACGGATGGAAAAAAGTTTCAACGGTGATTTACCTATTTTTAACACTGTGACCTTGGCTGGAGACCATCAATTGTGCTATTTCTGCATTTTCCAGCTGTTCATGGGTGTCCTTTTAGGCCCAGGCTATTTGGTTAAACTCAAGGTTCCAAGGGGCTCAGCAGCAGCCACAGGGTGACAGTTCCCTGCAGTCAAACTGAAGGGCAGAATGTTGCCAACAAAAATCTGCTGCTTAATTTTATTGGTAACAGGAAATATGTCCTGGGCAGTTGTGGGTTAAGAGGCAGCTGCAAAGTCCAGCTCAGGGCTGGAGAGCTGCTGCAGCTTATGAGGGCATTCTGAAGGAGCACAGGATTGACAAGCTGGTGCTAATAAACTGACTCAGCTACCTCTTGTGGCAGGTTTCTGACTGCCTGGGCCAGGCTTGGCATAGGGCTGGTTTTAAGAGTTAGAGCAGGCTAATTTCAGGGATTGGAGGGTGACAGTAAGCCAGGAATCTTATTGGAAAGGGAATTGAAAAGATGGGTTGGAGATTGTTGGCTAATGGGTTTCGGTTCCATTTCTGCCTGCAGTTCATGGAATGTGAAGGAATTTTGTCCTCTCTAGGTGGCTTCTAATTTCTAAAAGGTGTTCTTCATACTTAAAATAAGTAAAATTTCTTAGATGTGACTTTTTCATAGGCATGCCAGAATTGTATTCCATGCATTGTTTATATAATTTATATTATTGCACTTATAAACACAATGAAATTTAATTACATTACTAATTTACATTACTAATGTAAACAAATATTAAGGTCTGGCAGGTCTGGTTATTGTTATAGTGCACACATTAGTTTTGTTGGCTTTGTGTGCTTGCATAGTTAACTTTAAAGCAAAGAGTAAAGACTGTACTAACTAGAAAAGATCAGGTTAAGGTGGCAGAACGAAGAGAAGAAGACTGGGTCATGTTTACTATTGCTAAACCTCTATTGGTCAGCCCAATCCTAAAAAAGCCTGAGTCCAAAGAGGAATGCTTGAGGACATGGGATAAGAAAGAGAGCAAAAAATGAGAGGGAGAGAGCACAAGCTTCTTGAAATATTCTTCTCTTCCTAATTAAAAAATTAAGGTGTATCTTTTCAGTGTTCCACTTGGAAAGCATTCACACCTGAGAAAATACCTGTCAGCTGTTATATACAGTGTCTGCTGGTGAACTTAGCAAATTGCTTGTTAATCCTTGTAGTTGGTCCAGTGTCAATGGAAATACTGGTGTGGAAATTCATGTTGTTGTTCAATTAACTAAGCATAATGTACCAGAAAGTTAGGCCCATTACATAGGCCTCCATTAACAGTGTTTCAAAAAATGTTTGCTTTTGCAAACATTTACTTAAAAGCATCAGTTGAGTGTTATGTAATATTTGCTGTAATATGTAGGTGCAAGGCAGCTGTAAACATTTTATCCTCCCTTCAGTGGATCATCAGCATGACTCTTGCTTTCATGTTTTATGTGTGTGTAAATATGAAATCTTTGGTTTTGTGTGTCTTGGAAAACACAGTAAATCAAGAAATTATCAATAAATTTTAAAATGTATGAACAGATAGCATTTGAAAGGTTTTTGCTTTGAACTAAGAACTAATTTATGTGAAGGCCAAACCTTGGCTCTCCAATATCAAAACAAGAGAAAGCTTCCATTTAAAAACCTAATTGCCTACACATTCTGACCATTTTGTATAGATCATAAGGTTCCCTGCAATTCCCCATACTAAAATACAGCAAATAGTTTTATTTTGAGTGAGTTTGAAGCACTAGGGGGATTACAGAAGCTTTTTGCGGTGCTTTGCATAGAGGAGTGAGGGAAGGTCTATTGAAGAAGTGCTTTTCCTTTGTCAAACAAGTTATTAACTATAGTATTTCAAGTCATGTTTCACCATCTTTGTGGGTTATTACAACTTGGAAGGTCTTCAGTGTCTCAGACTTGTATTGGTTGTTTAACATGACAGGCAGAACAAGAGATTACTGACATGTCAGTTATTGATTTCTCTTGGATGGAGCAGGAAGCAGGATCGTGGCTGATTCCAGGCACAGTGGGAACTGCCTCTCCCACAGAAACACACTTACCTGTTCCAAAACTTCCATGGTGTCTGTGAGGGTTTTAAAACATCCTTTATGAACATGATTCCTCTGGTATCTCTAAGGTGAGGATGTAGGAGCTTCTAAAAGACTCAGAAAGAATGTAGGAGAAAATGAAAGCCTTTTCTCTTGCTGTTAGTCTTTATTATGTTTAAGGTGCTTATCTTTCTCTAAGCATGAGAATCAGCAGCAAAATCCTGAAAGTTAATGTCAAGAGGTGTTCAGCCTTCTGAAAAGAGAGCCAAAGTGTGCCTGAGGGGTTCTGGCTGAAGAGTTCAGCCTGAGCAGATGCATTGCTGTTCTGGTGCATAGATAATATGGGTGGGTGGGTTTGAATTATAAATAAAGCAAACATGCAAAAAGTAATTGCAATTATTGCAGTGCTTCTGCACATCCTGTGTCAGAGGCAGTTTTTCAGATAGCACTGACTAACAGTGGTGCCATTAAAGAGGGACTGTAAAATGACTTATTACTTGGTAGACTCTCCTGAGGACATTAAACTGTATTTGATGGAAAGTTATGTACTGCAAAATATTTTTTCCTAATAGGACAATAGTTATTTGGACTTAACCTCATTATAATTGTTGCTCTTTCAACCAAGTACAAGAAGTAAGATGTCTGTTATTCAGCTGCCAACTGACTTGGCATTTGCACTCATGTTTGAAGCTAACTGTTCTTGCTGAACTAGATTGGAAAACAGAGAATTTCTACATTTCTGCATACTAAACCTAGACATGTCTAAAAGACTGATTTTTTTATTGTTATAGTAAGTCTTAATTATGTTTAAAGGCAAGATATTTTTGCAGTAAAAAAATGTAGCAAAAGAACATTTTCTTTGGCAGTAAGGTACAAAGAGTTATTAGAGATTTCTAAACAAGTATGGTCTTGGGGAAGAAAATCAATTCCTTCCATTCATTTCTATGACAGTTGTCTTGCTGCACACTCTGGAAAACAGTAGAGATATACAACTTAGCAAGAAACAAACATCCTCAAATATTTTCAGAAAAAAAATCTAGGGTTTTTTTTTCTTTTTTTTTTAAATATCCTGAAATTTTGAATCTGGAAGGGTTTTCCTTGAAATCAAATACCACTAGTTAAAG